GGCATGTCGATGTGGTAAGCATCAGGAACTGATTGTTCCTCTCGGCGAGTGAGTTGTTCTGGGGATGTCCTGGAAGCGACTGGTCTAATGGAATCCGGAGTTCCTTGAGTGCTGATTCGAATTGTGGCGCATCATCCGAGTAAGCGTTGGTGACCTTTCTCTTGCCGATATAGTGCTTCATTGCCTGTACCACTTCGTCACTATTGCCTGCTTTCAATGGATAACCCCATATCACACCAGTGAACCGATCTCGAATCACCAATATGTCCTTATCCGGCATGATCCCATCTCTCGCCATCTTCTGAGTGTTCATGAGATCGAAAGTGATAAGGTCACCGAATGCCTTCAATTTCCGTTTGAAAGCTCCCTTGCTAGTCTTGTAGTGTTTCATCTTTGCTCTCACACATGACTTGCAGTATGGGTTCTTGTATCGGTGCGTCATCAAGTGCAATATGGATTTTGCCTCGTTCTTCAACACTCCTGGTTTTGATAGTCTGGTTTCCCCGTCAACCACATCGACTTCCAATAGTCCCTCTTCATCTTCATCAATGTCACTCTCCCCTCGTTCAGAATCCGCATCACTCCCATGTTCGTCGTCTCCGGCTTCTTCAGATTGACCTTCGTGATCACGGTCGAATCTCGGGTCTTCCCCGTCATATCCCTCTTCAGGAGAATACCTGTCATCATCGTGTTCCTCTGGCTCTCCTTCGACGCCTGCGACAGCTGGATTGATATCAGATTCATCATCCTGACCTTTCTGGTTATCTTTCTTCTTTCTCCTCCGTCTCCGTGATTTCTTGAGCGGAAGTTCCTCTTGTTGTGTCTCCTGGCCTGTTGTGACCTCGTCTTCATGCCCCACACCTGACAGTATGCGATGAAGTATCGTGGCCAAGCCATCTGGTCTTGGTAAACATCTCCCGTCATCATCATTCACCTTGATGTAGGGTATGTTGTCATGCACCGATAGCGGAATCTTGTTCGCGTTCTGGTCGATGAGGTATGGCAATTGATTCGCCGGCCATATGAATGAGTACCCTTGCTCCATGCATCGTTTCCCGATGGAAAAGACTGATGGTGTGCTTTCCAACACGTGTGCCTCGGACCTCATGGGTAGTTCGTCCACATTGATGTCCACCATCTCTGATGTACTAGTTACACCATTCGCTGTCATGAAGCTCACGGATTTGGGTCCTTCCTTGGTGGTAAGGCCCATGGCATTGACTTTCTCTCTTGAGATCAAATCGTGTCCACATCCCGTGTCCATGATGAAACGTATTGGTGGTCCATCATACCTCTCCACAGCCATGAACATAGTGGTTCCTGGTATCGTGTAGTCGACACAATCTTTCTTTACTACCTCTCTGGTGTTGAAATCAGACAGATCGACGCTCACCTCGATTCCTTCATCTTGAGTGAGTTGTATCCATGCCTTAGCAATGTGTTCAGCATAGAATAGCTCCATCATCTTACCCTTGGCATGCGCTACTCGTGCAGCTATGTTATTCACTCTGAGGGCTCTCAACGACGAAATGAGCTCGGTATCCACTTTCTGCACCTCATTCCTCCTCTTCCTGAGGGGACGGTTGTTTAGCTCATTACCAGGATCGCAGGTGAACGTGGTCACATTCGCCTGGTCATCGAATCTGACTTTAAAGCGAAGCGCCAGCTTACCTTGTTGTACGTTGGGAAGTGCGGGTTGTACGTCCTCGTCATCACTCTCGATGTCTCCGCAAAGCATGAAGGCTGGCGCAGCCGGTTTGGGCTTGGCTTTGCCTTTAGCCTCTTGCTTTGTAGCAGGAGCAGCTTGATGCTGACGTCGACATTTGTCCCCGAACTTGCACGATCCTTTCTGCCAATTCCAACAGACCTGATCCTTCAATGTCTTAGGGCTACTGCTCCTGCCACCGGGACTCTTTGATCTGTCATCCTTGAGGTTTTCTGGTTTCTTGGCAGAACTCTTGTGCTTCTCTTGGTGACTGAACTTGCATTTGTCTCCTCTAGAACATCCGTTTTTCCCATGGAAGTGGAAAGCGCATCCTATCTTGGACGTATCCGCTGGAGTCGCTGATCTGCCACGATCCCCTTTTGGGCTCTTCGTGGTTGATCTTCCACGATCCTGCTTCTTGTCCTTCTTGTTGTGGTCCTTCGGATTAGCCTGAGGAAGTACTGGAGCTGCATGTTTCGGTGGATCGGTCTTGGTATTCTTGGGTTTCGCTTTAGTGTCCTTCTTCTCCGCCGCTGGTGTGGCTTTCACGATGTTCCCAAAAGCTTTTTCCCTTTCCTTCTTGTTTGTGGTCTCAATTGATTTCCGTATCCACTTCGTCATGATCTCTCGTAACTTCTGGTAGGTTTTATCCGGATCCTTATCCAACATGTTGTCGTACACAGACAAGTCTAACGCCATCACTTTGGAATCCTTAATCTTATCCCAAAGCAGGTTGCGAAGTGCTTTGTCAGGAAGCATGTCATCCGCATCCATACCTGATATGATCTCATCCCACTGTCCAAGGAATCTGGATAGTTGATTATCCCCAGGGAACTTTAGATCGAATAAGTGCTTTGATGCATACATCACGTCGACGTTGTCGGCACTCCGGAAACTATCGACGATCAACGCTAACATTTCTCGTCCCTTGACCATTCCAGGAGTTGTGCCTCTCGCACGTCTCTGCATCATCTGCCTCACCTTAAGTTGCACGTCATGAGATCTCTCACCTGCTGCGTGGATGATCGTATGCAGGGTGATACCTAGCTTAGCGTCTATGCTAGCGAACCTTGCTTCGCCTGAGGTCTCGAGTAGAAATGGGTCATATGGTGATCTGAAGGCATCCGAGAGCCATTGGATCCAATCTTCTTGTTTCTCGTCGCCCGATGCCGTCACGACTGCCGCTACGACCTGGGATTTCCAAACCTCCAGGTCGTGTATCTTGGGCCATGCAGGGATGTTGATCTTTTCGTGTTCCTTCCGAGATATCTTGGAGCCGCCTGAGCTAGAGGATGAAGCGGCACCATGTTCGGTTGCGGCTGCATTCTCTGCACTTGCGCGCTCCTCTTCGTACCTCTTCCGGTACTTATTCCTCTCATCTCTGAGTCGTGATGCATGCGCTTCGAATTCCATCATGTCCTGTTGGTTCTGCATCATACCTTCATAGTACTCCATTGCCTCTTTCTCCTCGGACTTTAATAACTTTTCAGTACGTTCAAGTTCCGCTCTAAGCTTGGTCATCATCTCATTCTCCACACTGAGTTCTGATCCCATGTCTGGTGGTTTCAATTTCAGTGCGATCTTCAATTGTGCTTCACTTGCGCTTGATTCAATCAATTCTTCCTGAAGACGTTTCAGTATCCTCTCTTTACGTAGAATGTCCTCTTCCAACATGTTCACCTTGACTTCGGCCTTCTTGAGTTCGGCGCTGGATGGTTGAAACGGTCGATCGGACCCTTGAATCCTCGCCTGAGTCAACTCCTCGTTCGCCTTCTTCAATTGCTCTCTGATGCTCAAGATGAACTTGTCCTGATTGTTAGTTCGGTTGTTGAGCTCCTCATTCTCTTCTGATAACCATTTGATCTTGTTTGCATGCATTGCTTCCCTCATCTTCATCTCTTCAGCGTATTCGTGTTTGTTTCTGGCACTCTGCCTTTGTAGTCCAACTAACTCCTGTCTACACAGATCCTTGACGTTCTCAGCATCTGCGATTGTAGTCATGACCTCGGTTACGGCTCGATCTCTTTCTGCCGATATAGCCTGGATCTCTTCCGTGCCGATGTTCACAACTTGACTAACCATCTCTGCGCTGTTGCGATCAGCGTACTCCCCCAATTGGGTGAGACGATCCCGCATTGCCACACGATCAGTGTCCATCTGGTATTGCAGGTCGTGTGCTGCTGAGAGCAAACAGTCTCTGGATTCTGTAAGTTGGGTGATTCTCCGTTGATTTCCATATCCTTCGACATAACATTCTTCGAGGTGTGCCATCACTACTTCGTGGACTTCGGTCTCGTGTTGTATAATCTGGTTCTGTCTCTGCTCACATTCGACCATCCATGCGTTTTGGTGGTTCAACATATGCACTTCGGCAAGTAGTTGCGCACACTTCGCATTCAGGTCTCCATCGGCCCGTGCTAGTTGTAGGTTGTCAGTGCTTGCCCTTGCTCGATCTCCAGCTTCGCTGTCCGACGGCACTGGTACAGCTGACCCATCCTGCAATGCTAACACTCTCACAGCTCCGGTGTCAGTCCTCCTCCTTGTCTCCCTAGTGCTACGGTCTGACCTCGGTGTCCCCCACGGTGGTGTCGAGTGCGCTGACGGGGAACGACTTCGTGCTCTACCTGTCGCACCTTCTCTCACCGCTGTCAGAGTCTCCACTTCGATCGTACCTGGACTAGAGTTGTGGGATGCACTCATCCGATCTGCGGCCGCAGCAGCTGCCCCAAAAGATGCAGTGCTGGCGTCGGATTGGTCCATCTTCAGTGACTGAGGGTAACTGATCTATCCGATGCGTGTGCGTTTAGATGGTGTTGTGTAAGGCCGCAGCTCGTACCCAGCTCAAAGGAGTCTGGATACGGCTGATAACCTGCGAACGGATGGAAAGGTGTGCCCTGGCCCCGTTCTAGCTCTTAGGTCAACATGAAGCTCGCGCGCTAAAGCTCCTTTTTACCTGGTTGGGCACTTGAGCCAAAAGTATATGGCATGTACCTGTATAGCGACTATACTGGGACCCCATCCCTATTGACATTGAGGGTCCTGACCTTGAGCCAATGGAGCCAAGAGCTGAAACAAGCCCAAAGGGTCGAGTTGATCACCGCGAGCTGGAACAGTTTGAGCCGTTGACTGTTTGACAGTTCGTCTCTGTGGCCTACTTCATAAATGTTCAACTGTTTGGGGTCTACGCTGGTGCAATTTTCTTCTCTGAATTCGTCCGCTGAAACTGCAATTGTTCTTGTTTTAGGAGCAAGGACGCTAGTTCGCTATACTAGGGGCTCGTTTTTAGGCTCCCCACCTCAACTCCTTGGCGTTGATGTCCTTCCAATTCAAGAGCGATCCCTGCGGCGGCATACTGATGCGGGCGGAGTCCCTGCCCTCCTTTATCATATGCTAAGTTCCATTTCTTTAAAACATGCGTAATGTAGAAAAAGGATGAAACATGTCTAGTATTAACAAGGTCTTCATAAAAAATAACACACAGTGGGCATAGCTAAGTCCAAAGGTCTGGAGAAACAACGAACGGACGAATTACACGGTTTGCATGGCTTTTTCAGTCCAAGACCCCTGGACGAAAAACAAGTATGCGGGTCTGAAGAGAAAAAACCCTAGACAAAGGTCTACAGGTGCACAGAAAAATCGAAAGGCAAACAGTTTCTGGAGGTTGGCCTGGTTAAGCAAACATCTGAAAAGCGCAGAACAACGAACACATTGAAGGCATGTTTAAGGGTCGGCGTAGGAAAAATCTAAAGGACTCGAGAAAAATATGGTCGGCATAGCTGCTAAGTCCAAGGCCCTAAGAATCCTAAAAGTACTACCCGCATCTCAAAGAAAAGTGGGATTGCTGTACTTCCAGCTATCCCCACCCAAGGCCTGTTCCAATGCGATGTGAATTAAACATGTGCCATTCTGTATTGTCTGCTGTCGTGCTTGTCCTGGCACACTGCCAAGGGTTAAGTATGAGGATTGTGGTTATGTCCGGTGTTGCATCAGTCGTCTTTCTTGTTTTCTGTTGTCGCGTTTGTCTCTGTTCACAGTCTAATGTTGCGCGTGGTGGTGTGAACTTGGGTGTGGCATGGTGTTGCCATTATGCGAGTCATTGTGTTGATTGTTTTTGTGCTTGTCATACGTGCTGTGGCGCGCCTGTTGTCTGCTGTCATGTCGGGCCACCGGCTGGCAGGACGTGTTGCGTTTATGCTTGGTATTGTCATTGTGTGCGTGTGACTAATTGTTTTGCGTGAAAGTGTTCTTTGTCTGTTGTGTTTGTAGAGCGGCAATGTGCTTTAAACATGTGGGTTTGAAAGCCCATAGCTGCATGGACATCTTTTGCAAGACGTCTATACCCATAGAACTCTAGATTTGTAGACCTTGAGGCCTCCAGGTTCTAGGCCTCTGGACCTAGCGCTCTTGATATCTGGATCTCAAGACTCTAGGTTCTCTGGACCCCGAGACCTCTCTGGATCTCAAAAGCTTATAGACCTCTACATCTCTCTGGATCTAAGACCTCCAAACAACAACCTCTAGATCTCCAGCCGATATCTCTGGATCTCAACCTCTGGATCTCAAGAGCGCCAAATGTCTTGATCTAAGATGTCAAGGCCTCTAGACTGTTTGGGGTCTCTTGCCCAGTACTGAGAGCAACACGTCTGCACACCTGCCCCAACAGAACCATACAGAACCCCCATGCTGCATACGGGCAGCAATCGTTCAGGCCCTACGAACACACAAAGGCTGGGCCCAAGGGAGGCAAACAAGTGCCTTACTAGTAGTAAAATTAATAGCTTCTTGTTACTACTAGTAAGGCACCTGTTACTACTAGTAAGGCACTTGTTTCTAATAGCTTCTTGTTACTACCAGCAAATTATGGCCAGTATCGCTACTCGTAACAAGGGCATTACTACTAGTAGCAAGAAGCTACCAGTAACAAAGGGCATCGCTACTAGGAGCAAGAACGCTAATTACTAGTAGATGCATCACTTCGTTATCATCTTGAGAACCCATCAACTTGCAACGTTTCCAAATGACACGTTTGGACATCTTTCCTTGCGAATCGTTTCACTGGGAATTGTTTCACCTGTAGTAACAAACAACTTTTTAGTATGTCTTTGAAACTTCTTAGCAACTAGAAGCTTATTGCCTTCCTGTGGGGTTTCTTGCTCTATTGAAAGTATGCTTTTAATATCTTTTACTGGCCGTAGGGTTTGTTCTAGTCTCCGGCTGTCTCTGGTTGTACTGGGGTTGCGCTGGGGTCGCCTCTTTTACGACATCTCCGGTTGATCAGGCTTTGAAGTTCTAGTGGCATTCGCTCAGCACAAAGGCCTAGATAGACCAACCCCTGTGACGTATGAAAAGAAAGGCTTATTTTCTTCCGCGGGTTCTTTTTCTTGTTTGGCATCTATGCTGCATGCTGGATTCATTTTGTGAAAAACATCCGTGCTCTCTGGTGGCTGTCGGCCGAAGCCTGGCTTTCTGAGGTCTTATTCTCCTCACCGCTGATCGCAATGTGCGAGAGTTTCACACCAGGAGAGTTGCGTTACCATCCGTTACGGTTGATTCGGCAAAAACTTCGCTTCAAAGAGTTGAGTTCACACAGCTCCTCCTCCATGCGTTTGTTGACCTTCTGAGTTTGTCGGGCTTTCCCGGAGAGCTTCAGCTGGAAGCGAATGCGCTCCAACAACTCTTTCTTTTGAAATGGCTTCCTCGGTTCTCGGTGTACCCTTTAAGGTCACAAGTGGCGTGGAGGCCATCGCTAGTAGGTTGGAGGCCATCGCTAGTAGGGTGGAGGCCATCGCTAGTAGGTTGGAGGCCATCGCTAGTAGGTTGGAGGCCACGGCTATTAGGTTGAAGGCCATCGCTATTAGGGTGGAGGCCATCGCTAGTAGGTTGGAGGCCATCGCTATGGCTATTAGGTTGAAGGCCATCGCTATTAGGGTGGAGGCCATCGCTAGTAGGTTGGTAGGGTGGAGGCCATCGCTAGTAGGTTGGAGGCCATCGCTAGTAGGTTGGAGCCTTTGGCTATTAGGTTGAAGGCCATCGCTAGTAGGGTGGAGGCCATCGCTAGTAGGTTGAAGGCCATCGCTAGTAGGTTGGAGGCCATCGCTAGTAGGTCGAGGCCATCGCTCTTAGGTTGGAGGCCATGGCTATTAGGTTGGAGGCCATCGCTATTAGGTTGGAGTCCATCGCTAGTAGGTGGGAGGCCATCGCTATTAGGTTGGAGGCCATCACTAGTAGGGTGGAGGCCATTGCTATTAGGTTGGAGGCCATCGCTAATAGGTTGGAGGCCATCGCTAGTAGGTTGGAGGCCATCACTATTAGGTTGGAGGGCATCACTAGTAGGGTGGAGGCCATTGCTAGTAGGTTGGAGGCCATCGCTAGTAGGTTCGAGGCCATCGCTAGTAGGGTGGAGGCCATCACTATTAGGTTGGAGGGCATCACTAGTAGGTTGGAGGCCATCGCTAGTAGGGCGGTGGCCATCGCTAGTAGGTTGGAGGCCATCGCTAGTAGGTTGGAGGCCATTGCTAATTATTGGGTTGCAGGCCACCGCTATTGAATCATTGGGTTGCAGGCCATCGCTATTAGGTTGGAGGCCAGCTCTATTGGGTTGGAGGCCATTGCTATTAGGTTGGAGGCCATCGCTATTAGGTTGGAGGCCATCGCTATCAGGTTCCTTAAAGGTGCTTTGTTCCTAAAGGTGCTTTATATTTATGTATATTTATGTCTTGTTTCTAATGGCTTCTTGCTCCTAGTAAGGCCAGAGCCCCGATCGTAGCGTCCTTTGCTAGTAGCGATGCTCTTTGCTCCGTTCGTAGCCTACTCTCGGTCCCTTCGTGCCAGGTCTCTGAACGTAATCGTTGGCACCCATTTCCAGGCAGGATGTAATGGTGTCCTGGCGCAGCAAATGCCATTAATTGTGTCATCAAGCCAGTGCTGAATGCACCTGAGTGCGAATTCAAAACTAATTTTTGAAGACATTGGCTCTTGCCCGGGCTCCTTGTTGCCCTTGGCAGACACCATGACAATTGGCAAAAGCTCGGGCCCAAAGTTTTGACGAAGAGCTTTCCTTGGCATCGACGAAAACACGTGATACAATATTACATTGTACACAGAACAGATCCTGCACTTTATTAGCAATATGCTATACTGCTATACTGGGCTATATTCCTCTAAATTATAGTTATCATGTTTCTGCTCTGTTAGTTTGACTTCATAAGAAATAACTATTTCAGGCCAGTCAAAAATAGCTTGAGGGTGGTGACTTGCACTGATCTCTCGGCAACAAGTTGAAAAGGTGCACAGCGTGCTTGGTTTCACATTTTTGGTTTTGCACTAGTAATGGTGCACATGCATGTTGAACAACATATTTATGTTGCAAATTCTTTTTCCAACCGCGTAATTAGGGTCATAGAGTCAAACAAAGGATCCAAAGTCATTCCTTGAGTTTAGAATATTTTACAACACCCCGAGTCAAGCTACTTTGAAGTAATTATACTCAGGGCTGATGACATAGGAATTTGCTGGGCTGATGAGATAGGAGTTGGGGGCCACAACGTCTTATTCATCAATCAGTAGACAAGGTTGCCAAGTGTAGTACACAGCAGGATGACATAGGAGTTGTGGACGCTCTGCCAGCACAGAACTAAAAAAATAAAACATATGTATAAATACCGTTCCCATAGGGAAAATATGACTGCTTTAAGCTTCATGACTTAGGCGCGCTCCCTAAATGTTTCCCACCACCTGACCTATGTCATGTGGCTTCTTGCCACCCAAGCTCAATAGATTTATTGATTTTTACCATGGCCATGGGGCCGTCGATAAAATTCTCAATTCTGAAGTGATGCGTGAACTTTCGTCAAGATGACATAGGAAGTAGGCACCCTGGAATTTGCACCAACGCTTTCCTATCATCTCCTAGTTGCCACGCGCTATATTGGTGCAATACTCCTAGGTCATGTGTGGTTTGTCAAAAACCTCCTCAAACCATGCCATCTCAAACCATGCAATCTGTGAACATAATTGTGTGAGTGCCAGGGTCATTGTTGTATGTTTTGATGAGATAGGAGTTGTGGCGTATAGGCTACTGCATGACATAGGATTCTTCTTTCCCATACTTTCACAACTCCTATCTCATTTCCCGGTAGTATATATACTATTCGCATCATGTTGGGCATTAGAGGTTGGCTTGGTTGAACATTCAACCATCGAATACTTCTGTCAACCTTTGATCACTATCTTCTTAGTCTTTTTCCAAGAACTTGTTCCCGTGACTGGTCACAGTTCACACGTTTTCACACGTTTTCACACGTTTTCACCTCTCCCAAACTTGTCTGAACGTGCTTTTCGACTTGGTTTGGTCTGTCATTTTTCATGTAAAGCAACACACGTTTGTGAACACAGGTTTCGCAGGTTTGACTCGGTTTCACCAGGTTGCACCAATTCTGTGCCCATCATTTCCGGCATCATTACCTTGGCGACCAGGTCTCAATCAAGTCGGCCTAAATGCGTGCCAGCAAATCCTTCATCATGTGCACTTGACAGTATAGACATATAGGTTTCCCTGCTGACTTTCCACAGGACTTTGCATCTGGAGTTCTTACAACTCACGCTGGCAGTTGGCAGACCTTACAGTTAGAGCCCTCGGCCTGGAACAGGAGCAGCAAACACCAAAAAGCAATATCAAAGAAACTTGAAGAACCAGCAGAATCAAGGGTTGAGGAATAATCTGCTTTTGTGATGTGACATGTATGTCACAGCGCCCCGAACACATAAGCTACAGCTGTGCCAAACGAGTTGAGAAAAATACACAACTGTTTCCTGAGCTAGGCAAGCAGTGTTCGGGCCGTGTTGCATCCAACAGGATTAACGATGGAATCCCTTTTCGTACCATGTCTGCTGCAGCTTCTGCCACATTCATCGCTTCCCTCACCTGCGGAGTAGAAAAGCGGATAGGATCAAACATCGCAACCATCAAACAACAAAGCAACTCCAACCTAATAGCAATGGCCCCCAACCTAATAGCGAAGGCCCCCAACCTAATAGCAATGGCCTCCAACCTAATGACCTAAGCCTCCAATCTAATAACAATGGCCCCCAACCTAATAGCGAAGGCCTCCAACCTAATAGCAATGGCCTCCAACCTAATGACCTAAGCCTTCAATCTAATAGCAATGGCCCCCAACCTAATAGCGATGGCCTCCAACCAACCCTAGTTCACCTACTGACATTCATTCCTCGAACTTCATGTCCCAATGTTGTGCTGTCCTGCCTCATAGTCTTGCGAGACCAACATGTTGTGAGTGATTTGGAGGTGAATAGGGTCATCATCCACAGACAAAATGGTGGGGCGAGCATTGTCAACTGCCAAAAGATCCTGAGCTAACAGGAAACTGGCACCGCTTCCCTGAGCTGACAGCCATCGCTACCAAGAATCAGTTGGTGTCAATCTTTTGAGTTGTTGCTGAAGAAGATCGACTGTTGCAAATCGACCTGATAAAATATGACAGCCATCTAGCAGGTAAGTGTACGTTAGTCATCGTAAGTCTATAGTCTAGAGATGTCTATCAATAGTGGTCTCCAAATAGATAAGGAAAGAGAAGGAAAGTAGATCTCCACGTATTTAATTAGGGAGGCAGGGCCACGGGCCAAAGAAAAAAACATGAGCAGTCTAAGTAAGGAAATAGTTGCTTTTCATTTCTATGAGGCCATCCCTATCAGTTAGTTGGAGGCCATCGCAGTCCCTTAGAACAAGTCTCACTCTGTCCGTGCCTTGGTCGCTGCTTGCACACTGTCCTTTCTCTGACCTTTCCGCCCTGCCAGGTGCAGACGCGTGCGGGGTTCGGGGCGGCCGAACCCGAAGAGGAACAGTGTCCAAATCGCATGAACTACATGGAAAACACCCACCCTAACCCACCCTCCCCCTACCTCCCTGCCCCTGGCCTCTGTTGCTATCCTAGCCGCTATTTAGGGAACAGAAGGAAATCGCACTCAACACACTTGTGTGTTGGTGCTTTTCCTTCTGTTTCTCCTGTCCTACTCCTAGCTACCCGGGCGGTTTA